CCTCCAGCTTTGGTGCTCACTGCTCCACCAAGCACACAAATACCAGCCCAAAAAATCTGCCTGGCCAACATACCTGCCCCAACATATCTTATCTTTTGTTTGCTGCCATCCAGGTGTGGCAATCCTGCCACCCTGGGAAAATTGTCCCGAGGTGAGCACTGCCTTTGGGATCTCTGATACTACAGGATTTTGGCCCCAAAGCTGCAAGTGCAGAGAACTACAGGACTGCAGACAGTAACAGACCCAGATCTGCCCCAGACAGGCTCTGAGGAGCCAAGTGTTCACACTCCTGCTAGTCCAACTCCTGGGCAGTGCTTTCTGCCACATATTTAACAACTCCCTGAAGACACCACATCTTGCAGCCACGTGACTGAGAAGGACCAGGGAACAAGATCTGGCTTTGCAAGAACTGGAACCTGGTGTTCGTGAGCCTCAGGGCTCTCCTGGACTCAAACCATTGGGGCTACTCCAAGAGCTGTCCCATGCTCCCTTACCCCGATGCCACACGGCTGTCCCTCGATCCCTGCTCCCCGACCATTCCATGTGTGGTCCCAGTTAATGCCAGCACAGGTACCTGCTCGATTTCCTTCTCTTTGCTGCAGTGCTCCCAGAAGTTGGTGACAACGAAGGCTCCGTAGGCACCCGCCAAGGCCTTTTCCAACGATGGCTCATCGTCCTGATCCGCCTTCACCACCTCGGCTCCCCTCCGCTTCAGCTCCTCCGCCGCCTTCTTCCTGGGGCTCCGCGTCACCGCCCGCACCCTGAAGGTCCCATCGTCCAGCAGCGCCCGGGCCACGCTGCCACCCTGAGCCCCTGCGGGTGCAGCCGGTCAGGGCCTCCCTGGGGCTCGGGGTGCGCTGGGGCCGCGGGACGGAGCCCCCCGGGCCGAGCTCTCCGCCCGCTCCCCGCGATGCCGCTCGGCCGGGCGGGCACTTCCCACCCTCCGGGCCCCCGGCACCATCGGCGCCTCAGCCCCTCGCCCCCCTCAGGCCTCCCCCCGTCGCACTCACCGGTCGCCCCGAACACCACGATCAGCTTCTTGCCGGCCATGAGGCAGCGCGGGCGGTCCGGGGGCTCTGACAGGGCGAGAAGCGACACGGCCGCGGCTCAGCCCCCGGCCAGGTCCCGCTTGGGAGGGTGTCCCCGGGCACGGGAGGGAGGGAGCAGGGCGGCTGCGGGGCCATCGCCTGTCCCGGCGGAGCCATCGCCGGTCCCGGGGCACCGAGCGCGGATCCCTCATACGGATCCTCACCTCGGCTCGGCTCCAGTCGGCTCCTCCCGGCGTAGTTCGGCTCGGATCGGGGTTAATCGGCTCGGCTCGGCTCGGCCCGGTTACGTTCGTTCTCTGTTCGGCGCGGCCCGATTATGTTCGGCTCCGTTCGGCTCTGCTCGTCCCCACCCGACTCCTCACGTACTCTGGGCGGGGCTCCGACGTCCATCCCCTCCCGGCCCCGCCCACCGCCGCCACAGCCGGCAGGGGGCTCCGAGCTCGAGCGTATCCGATCCCACCCCATCCCATCCCATCCATCCCATCCCATCCCATCCCATCCCACCCCACCCCACCCCATCCCATCCCATCCCACCCCATCCCATCCCATCCCACCCCATCCCTTCCCATCCCATCCCATCCATCCCATCCCATCCATCCCATCCCATCCCATCCATCCCATCCCATCCATCCCATCCCATCCCATCCCATCCATCCCATCCCATCCCA